GAGCAGGGGGTGGGGCTTGTTGCATGTGCCCGCCCCCTGGGCTCTTTACTGCCGGAGCTCTGCTCCTGTGCGCTCCTGCTTAGTCCCCTGCAGCTTCATTAGCCTCAGAATGGGTGAAGGGGGAGCTCACTCAAATGTACTCCCAGGGCTTCATTACTCTGACTGGCAGGTTCCCCAAGCAGGAAACCCAGCAGCCAACTTCCTCCTTGCCCAATCCCCTCCCCAACTTGGTAGCTTCCCCAGGTACAGGGCAGCACAGGTTCTGGACAGAAAGGTCCAAGGCACCAGACTCAATGGGCCTTTTCGGACAGGTAGGTTAGGTTGTGTGTGTGTGACTGGCCCAAGGCCACTTGGCAAGCTTACGTAGCCGAGGGGGGATTTGAAACTGGGTCTCCCAGATCCTTGCCTTGATACTCTAACCACTATTCCACCATGCTGCCTCAAACACTGTCATTCTCTCCTTGTGATTGCATGTGTACAAGGATAGGACCATGACATATATATGTATTGTACAGTGCCCGGACTGGTATAATCTTGATTATAATTAGGCTTTTAATGATTATAACAATGAGTAACAGATCTTGGGGCTGCGGTGGCTCAAGTGGTTAAGACACTGAGCTGCAGACCGGAAGGTCGGTAGTTCAGCAGGCCGAGACCCAAGTGCCGCATGATGGAGTGAGCTCCCATCTCTGGCCCCAGCTCCTGCCAACCTAGCAGTTCGAAAGCAAGAAACTGCAAGTAGATAAATAGGTACCGCTTTGGTGAGAAGATAACAGCATTCCATGCGCCTCAGCATCTAGTCATGGCGGCCACATGACCACGGAAACATCTTTGGACAATGTTGGCTCTTCGGCTTGGAAACGGAGATGAGCACCGCATCCCTAGAGTCGGATTCGACTGGCTTTCAAGCAAGGGAAACCTCTACCTAACAGATCTTGAACTCATTGCTGTTTCTCATTTTAGTTGATCTTTGGCACACGCTGTGCCCCTTAAAGTGTGTTGTCGTAAGAACGTAAGAGCATAGGAAAATCCCCGCTGGATCAGACCAGTGGTCCATCCAGTCGAGCATCCTGTCTCACACAGTGGCCAACCAATTCCACTGGATGGACAACACCAGGGAGGCTGAGGCCTTCCCCTCCCCTGATGTTGCCTCCTGGCTCTGGGATTCAGCGGTTTAGTCCCTCTGAACCTGGACGTTCTCCTCAGTCACCATGGCTAGTAGCCCCTGATCTATATACTAATAGCGAAGCCGCCCCCGTGCGTGCAGATACCTAAATCCACGCATCAGGGGCACCTGGGGGGGAGGGAGATTTTTGTGCACACTTGGGGCAGTCCCCAGGTGTGCACAAAAATCTAAAAATCCGGAAAAAATACCGGGGGGATACTTAAATCCCCCCAAAAGTAACAGAGCATCCCCTGCGCATGTGCAGGGAACGCTCTGCGAACCCCCTCGCCACTGAAAGGGGAACTGCGTCTGCTCACCCTCCCCACGGAGGGCTGGAGGCGAAAAAGGCTGCTGCAGGAGCTAGAAGCGTCCAGCCCAGACTCCGGGTGGGGCATGAGAGGCTCGCCAGGCCGCCGGGTGGAGGAGACGGGGGAGGAACCGGCGGGATGGGGGGAACTTGCTTCCTCCTCCTCTGCCTCATGTTCGGAGGTCCCTCCCTCCCCGCGAGTATCGCGGGTCCCGCCCCTTGTAGACTTCTAATTTCATTTGAAAACTGTTTATTCCTGTGGCCATCACTACATCCTCTGGCAGCAAATTCCACATTAATCATTCTCCATGTATTGTCATTGAATACCTTTCAGAGATGTTGATGCATAGTCATCCAAAATGGCTCGGTGCCCTTGAATGACAAGAAACACTATGAGACTGAAGATATGCGGGCCCGTGGGGAATACTGGAGGAACTGAACTGGATCGTGTTTGCTCCTTGTTTGTTTCTTTTAAACACAGCACAATTAAGTGCCTTCAAGGCGATGGAGTGTGAAACTCTTACAAAAGTGTGGTGTGCATTAAAGAGCTCTAATATTCTAACAAGCCTTCCCTGTGGCTTCTGCCGATCCTTGGAAGACTTTATATGCGCTCGACTACAATTCATTGCAAAGCCCATAAAACGCCAAGGGAACGATCAACGACAGTGAAACAATGGGGGGGGGGTATTAATCCCATCACCTTTTTATTGCCTTTTTTTGCCAAGGTTTATAGTGGGAATGCTTCACAATCGAAAGAGGCCGTTCGGTCGGGGTTCACATCAGCATTTTGCAATGCCGTCCACCTGCAGAATTTTGCTAAAGTGTTACAGGCCTCTTCAACAGGTGGGGAGATTGTAACTTCTGCTCTCCAAGAGACAAGCTACCTCAGCCCTCCTCTGAAGAGACCTGTAATTCCTTTGGCAAAGGCTTGCTTTGGCAAACTCTGGCAAAGGCTTGCTTTGACCTTTAAAAGGCTTTTCAAAAGATAAAAGGTGCTGTCTTGCATAAAAGCAATATACATTCCTTATAAATCGAGTGCTATCAGTTCCATTTTTGAGGGTTGGCTATTTTCATCAAGTACTGTTGTGTTATGTGATATGGAGCTGCGGTGGCTCAAGTGGTTAAGATGCTGAACTGCAGGCTGTGGAAGGTCAGTAGTTCTGCAGTTCGAGACCCGAGTGTGCCGCATGACGGAGTGAGCGCCCGTCTCTAGTTCCAGCTCCTGCCAACCTAGCAGTTCGAAAGCAAGAAATTGCAAGTAGATAAATAGGTACCACTTCAGTGGGAAGGTAACAGTATTCCGTGCGCCTCGGTGTTTAGTCATGCCGGCCACATGACCACGGAAACGTCTTCGGACAGCGCTGGCTCTTCGGCTTTGAAACGGAGATGAGCGCCGCAACCCTAGAGTCGGACTCGACTGGCTTTCGAGCAACAGAACCTTTACCTTTACCTTACTGTTGTGTTACCTTGAGCAGCTTCCCAAATGAGGCTGCGTGAAGGGGGGGGGAATTGGAGCGAGTGCTACAAAGTCTAGACCGGTGTTTCCCCACCTGTGGGTCAGGAGTCAGAAGTGGGTTGCAAAAGCCTCTGAAAGGGAATTGCAGGGCAACCCTTCCTAATGGTGGCCTCCGTCCTTTCCATTTTGTGTTTTGGAAACCAAAGATCTGACCCTGAAAACAGTATCTTTCATACATTTGTTGGCTTTTTTACCCTCCACTGCATATGAAGAAGAAGAGAAAAAGAGATTGGATTTATAACCCCGCCCTTCACTCATAGTCTCAGAGAGGCTTACCATCTCCTTTCCCTTCCCCTCCCCACAACAGACACCCTGTGAGACAGGTGGGGCTGAGAGAGCTCTTTCAAGAGCTGCCCTTGAGAGAACAGCTCTAAGGGAACTTTTGACTGACCCAAGGTCACACCAGCAGCTGTGTGTAGAGGAGTGGGGAATCAAACCCAGTTCTGCCAGATTAGAGTCCATGCTCTTAACCACTACACCAAACTGGCTCTCTCATATATATATGTTGATCAAGTAAAATGTGTCCTAATGGTTACTAGAGGGAGACTTATAGGGGGGATTAGAGGGTGGTCAAAGGCTGGAATGTAACTTACCTATTCAGTGGCTGTGTATGTGTGAATGCTACTTGCTTGGGGCTCATAGTGGGAGCAGCTGTGCCCTTTGTGCAATGTTTGTTGGTGTCTCCACAACATCTGGTTAGCCACTGTAGATAATGGAACGCTTAACTAGATGGGTGCCAAGCAATGCTCCCTCTAAGCTGTGGAGTCTTGTGAGCAAAAATTCCACTTTGTGAGCTACTGGCCTTAAAGTTGTGAGTGAGCGATTTGGCTGCTGCCTAAATTAATTTGCTCTGGAGCCATCCTTCCTGAGCTAAGACAAAACTGTGTGAGCTGGAGGCTAAAAAAACCTGTGAGCTGGCTCACACTAACAGTTTGGGGTAGTGGCTAGGTGCAAAGACTCTAATCTGGGAGAACCGGGTTTGATCCCCCACTCCTCCACATGCAGCTGCTGGATGACCTTGGGCAAGCCATAGTTCTGTCTGACCTGTTCTCTCAAGTACAGTTCTGGAAAGAGCCCTCTCAGCCCCACCTACCTCACAGGGTGTCTGTTGTGGGGAGGGGAAGGGAAATGAGTCTGTAAGCCACTCTGAGACACTGAGTGAAGGGTGGGGTATAAATCCAATCTCCTCCTCCTCCTTCTTGGAACACTGGTGCCAAGGTCATAGTTTACTAAGAGTACCAAAAAACTTTGGGCCAGCCCTGGATGGCTCACCATACCAAGTAATTTTGGACTTGTGGGTCACCATACCGAAAAGTTTGGAAACTGCCTGTCTAAACCATTGCCAGGAAATTATACTGGCAAACAGAAATGTTTCTCTAATACTTGTGGCTAGCCTCTTATTGGTGTACTGGGTTTTTCCAGTGCTTGATGATACTTGCCTATAGGTGAGAAATCTGTGGCATTTTTAACAGTTCTATGTGTTGTGATTCTCTGTTTCCTCTTAAACGAATCACTATTATCATTGTAATCTTTATAACTGATTATTTCCCTTCTCCTCTGATCCTTTATCATAACTTCCCCGACCCCATGGGAAAGCATTAAGGGCTAATTTTGCAATAACTAACAGGTTGGTATATGGTGCATTGCACCTACATATTGTAAGCCGCCCTGAGCCTGCGTGCGGGGAGGGCGGGTATAAATGAAATTAAATAAATAAATGAATGAATGAATGAATGAATGAATGAATGAATAAATAAATAAATAAATAAATAGGATAGCCAGGTGTTTTATGTGACATAGAAAGATCAGCCTATGTCTCCGAAGTCGAAAGCTGAAAGAAGTTGAAGTTGAAAGCCATCCCAGAATAAATGCAGGCGCTTAATAATGATCATGACCTTTGTATAACTCAGAGAATCACTCGGCCACTTCCTGCAACAGCAGCCTAACCTGTGCTTTTGGTCACTGGTTTTTTAAAAAGGGTCACGCTAACAGCTCCTTCCTTTGAATCCTAGAATCTCAAGTTCCTGATCAGCCAAGCTCTCTTCACGTCAGGCCTTTGTCAACCAGCATTGTCATGAGCTGGACGCCGCCGCTGAACCCCAACATCATCGTTCGCGGGTACATAATTGGCTACGGAGTGGGCAGCCCCTATGCTGAGACGGTGCGCGTGGACAGCAAGCAGCGGTACTATTCGATCGAGCATTTGGGTAAGTGCCTCTTCCTCCTCGAGGCTGTTTCTAAGAAAAGGAACGCTTCTCGTTTTGTGAAGTTGTTCTTTTCCGGCCCTTAGCCCAAAAGTGCATAAGCTGGTGATGTGGCTGAAATTTGGAGTGAGTCAATTAGTGTGCAGAGGTGCATTTAGGAATCTGTGGAACAACTGTGGCCTCCAAGGGTAGGTCTGATTCAGGATCTTTTACCGACATGATAATGGAAATAACGGGAAGTGCTTCTGGAAAATGTATTTCTGGGAAATTTGGACTCCTTGGTTCAATGCTGTTGCATCAGAGCCTGAATTACCTCTTGCCGGTTTCTGCTTTCTGAGTCTCTTTGTTATGCTTCACTGTGAACCCACAAGAAGGCTGTGAAGGTGGGGGACAATCTCAGTTTTTAATTTAGGCCTGTGGGGCAGAGCAAATGGGCTGAAACCCAGTCATGTGTGTTAGCAAAATATCTGCTCACTTCCACATATTTTTTTTTTTGGGGGGGGTGTCACCTGTAGTCTAGGACTGAAGGCAGGTTCTGCCTCAAAATGCATCCACAGTTACAGTTTGCTCACTTTTTCCCACATGAGATTTGCTTGGACTCTTCTCCTACTGTTGTACTTTTAGTGCAAGTCACTAAAAGTTTCATCTTGGGAGGTGATGGTGCAAAGTGGTTAAAATGAGTTTGGGAGGTCTACCTGGAGGGCTCAGGCATTATGAATGAGTGATAACAATGGGGCAGGTCTCCTTGAAAATTCCTCAAGGGCACTCATGTCGGTAGAGTCTTTCCATTTTTGCCGGGGGGTGGGTAGTGGTTCCCCATCCCTGCTTCCAGGGCTGGTTCCAGTTGGGGTGGGTGGTGGGTGGGCAGAGTGTTCCCAGGGTCCCTTTCCCCTCCTTTCCCCATGCTCCTGCTCACACCTCCTTTTTGCATCCCCAGTCCACATGCCTGTGCATCCTTTCCCCACCCCTCAGTGTGTCCGCTCACTGCCCGTTTTCACAGATGCCTGCACCACCTACATTCTCTTTACCTGACTTTGCTGGGCAGTGTGTACAGCTGGGACCATGAATGGTGGAGAGATTGCAAGCAAGAAGGCAGTGGGGGGGGGAGGGCATGCAAGTTAGCAGCAGTGGGCCCCACCAGGACCCCAGCAGCTGCCCCACTTCAGTGTATACTGATACTGACCCTGCCTCCTGCAGTGAGTGAATGCATTTTAAGATTGCTGCCTCAGGCCAAATGCCTCTGCCTAGGAGCAGCTTTACACTTCAGAGGCCCACAGCCCCTGCCTCCCGGCAGCAACCACAGAAGGTGGGGCCTGCAATTAGCCCCAAGCAAACAGACCTAGCTCAATGAGCAACGGACCCAAACAGACCCAGACAAAATCACCACTTCCAGCGGGATACAAGCACCCACTCACCCTCAAACTCTATCCTCTCACAAAGCAACCTCAGTCAATGCTCCCCAGTAGTTTAGCAGGTTAGGAAAGGCAAAAAAACTCTCACCTTCCTAGCAGCTCTTTCTTGCATTTTCTCCCAGACCAGCTGGCTCAGTTCACCTCGGATCAGTAATAGGCACAGGAATAAACAGCTTTAAAGGGGGATTAGATAGATTCATGGAGGAGAAGTCTATCAATGGCTACTAGCCATGGTGACTAAAGGGAAACTCCATATACAGAGGCAGTAATCCTCTGAATCCCAGAGCCAGAAGGCAACATCTGGGAAAGGCCTTGGCCTCTATTCCCTATTGTTGGCTGTTCAGAGGAATTGGTTGGCCAATGTGTGAGCCAGAATGCTGGACTAGATGGTCTATTGGTCTGATCTGGCAGGGCTCTTTGTGTGTTCTTATGAGTCACTGATCTGTCTAGGAATTAGAGACTCTCATCACTACTGCTTTCCAAAAGGACTTCTAATTTATTATTGCTATGCTAATGTTTCTCTGTGATATGCCTCTGATGTTGTGGAATCGCTGATGAGGCTCTTCTGCTTGAGGGATCTGCTCCGCAAGCATTTTTTAGCTTTTGTGTTGTGATTGTGATACAATCATAGTCTAGATTGTGGATCCAATGGTGGTTTCCTTCTCCCCCCCCCCTTCCAAGTGGAGAGGAGGTGACTTTTGCATTGAGTTCCAAGTTTCTATTGTTCGGGTGTCTGTGTGTGTGTGTATCCAATTAGCTTTTCTGCTGGTTAAAAATGAGTCAAGTGTCCTTGTTAATTCCCCCCCTCCCCCAAAAAAAGTTATGTAGGGAATCAGGGGATAAAGCTAATGTGGAATGCATAGTAAGAAGAGGAATTAGACTTTTGTATCAGTATGGTTCCCTGTTCTAGAATACCTCACCTCCCAACGGGACATTTCCAAAGCAGTAGATGACCTTTGGTTGTGGTAAAGGTTTTGTTGTATCTGCAATTGTTGCTTTAGTTAGTTTCCTAATACAATACAAATACTTGCAATTTATGGATGGTACCTCATCGTTAGTAGTTCTCCCTTATACCTATTATTATTCTGAGATCTGTAACGCACGTTAATTTCTTGATTTTCTGCTATACCCTTGTATTGTTCTAGCACTTTGTATGTTATTGTATTTTTGTTGTTTTTAACAAAATTTCAATAAACTTTATTGTATAGAAGAGGCATTAGAACAGGTTGTGAAAAGACTGGCTGCATCTAGCCAAAACACTTGAATGCAGATTCTAGCCTGGGGAGAGAGGGTAACGTTCAGCCAACATGAACCAACACTCTGCGATCAATAACTGGAGAGCAGGAGCACATTTACTGTAAACCGTGGCTTGGATCCAAAGATCAGAAAGGTCCCAAGTTCAGTTCCTTGTGGCTTCAACTAAAGGATCCCAGGTAGCAAGCATAAGGGAAGACCTTTCTCTGCCTAAGACCTTGGAGAGTTACTGCTAGTCAGTGTAGATGAGGGGGCTTGCAACCCAGGGTTCAGTGTCGATCAATACAGAAGCAAATACAGCTCTTCAGAAACAGAACATAGAATCTTTAAGTTAAGGTACACATTGGGGAGGTAGGTAGGATGCGAGGATAACAAGTATGTGAGAAGAATGGCAGGGAAAATATATATGGGAATAAATAGCTTCCTAGAGATGCTTTACGGAAAGAGAAATGATGGGGGTGAACAGCTGCCAGTAATCCAGGTGTGAACCGTGCACTGATTTATGCCAGTGTACTAAAGCAGTTGGACAGCCCCTGTATATATTGGTTGCTCACTGTGAGACCTCCTGTGTGGCTCTTCCTAATAAACAACTTGCAGCAATGAGCCTCTGGGCTGCAGAAGCATTAGGTGATTTCCCACAAGCGCTGCTCCGCGCTCACTCCTCCCTTCTGCCCCGATGGTACGTGTCAATTTCACACAAGCTGCTGCGCGGCCGCATTTTGCCCCGCAGCTTCGTGCGATTCTCCCCGCGTCTACTCAGTCCTCAAAAAACAGGATTGAGTAGACGCGGGGAAAATCGCACGAAGCTGCGGGGCAAAATGCGGCCGCGCAGCAGCTTGTGTGAAATTGACACGTGCCATCGGGCCAAAGAGAAGAGTGAGCGCGGAGAAGCGCTTGTGGGAAATCACCCCTTGTGTTATTACTGCTGCATTGTTACCGTGCAGGGGAGGGACCGTGGCTCAGTGGAAGAGCCAGAAGGTCCCAGGTTCGATTCCCACCTTCTCCAGTTAGAAGCATCAGGCAGTAGGTGACACGAAGGACCTCCACCAGGGACCCTGGAGAGCGGCTGCCACTCTGAGTAGACAGCACTGATCTTGACGGACCAAGGGTCCAACTCAGTCCAAGACAGCTTCATGTGTGTGCTGTTACACTACAGTCAAGTTGCATGTTTCCATGTGGGCAAATCGGCTTTCTTATCCTGGCTGTATGCTGTGCTGACCTCTTGCCATGAATTTGGATGTCGTTTGACTCTTTAATCATAAAAGCAGGGCTGTTTTTGGGCAGGAACGGAGTTCCGGCTGGCTCCCAAGTTGGCCACGCCCAGCAGGAACTCATTAGCATACTAGGCCACACCCAACAGCAGAAACCCATTAGGACTGGCTACATTAGGGGTGTGTGCCCTAACATGCTACAAAAAAAGCCCTGGACAGTTTTGACAACAAGCAAGGTAAACAGAATAAAGCAAAAGGTGGGTGTGGCTGGATGAGCACACTTCTGGTAACATGGGGGTGTAGCCTAATATGTTAATGTGCTGTGCTGTCAGGGGTGTGGCCTAATAGGCTAATGAGTTCCTGCTGTTGGGTGTGGCCTAGTATGCTAATGAGTTCCTGCTGGGCTTTTTCTACAAAAAGAGCCCTGCATAAAAGAGTTGATGATCCCAGGGCATAGACAGCACCAATCGAGATAGACCAATGGTCTGATTCGGCATAAGGGAGAACCACGTGTCCATATGTCCACACTGCAGTATGTAAGTGGAAATAACTTCCCTTCGTGTAGTGGAAGGGTGTTAATTTCTCTCCCCCCTTGTGCAGCCCTTGAAAAGATCACCTACACCGGAGTCAGTTTGGGGGAGAATGAGAGACAGCAGAATGGGAACAGTGAGCTTCGAGTCCAGTGGCACGGCAGAGCCCAACAATGGGGGGGTGGGAGCAATAAGCTTTGGAGAGTTAAAGTCCCAGGGATGCCAGCTTTGACTCTCAAAAGCTTATACCCTCCACCCTGACCTGGATAGCCCATGGCAAGCCCATTCTCGTCAGATCTCAGAAGCTAAGCAGGTTCGACTCTGGCAAGTACTTGGATGGGAGACCTCCTTGGAATACCAGAGGCAGGAGGTGGGGGCAGGCTTTATTCAGCCACCTCTCTGAATATCCTCCAGGCCCCCAGTAGGGGTCAGTCACCAGAAGTCACCATGACTACCAGGTGTGCACACACACAGTCAGTCACCAGAGCTTGCCATTGTTGGAAAATTTGGTAAAAAATAGATATTCAGAGCTTGCCATGGATCTTTGTTCACTGGAGAGGAGGCATATTCTTTCTATGTAAAAATCTTTATTTCTA